GTCCCCCACCCGCCGTCGAGCGACACGAGACTGCGGAGGTCCAGGCGGCGGCCGGGAGGCTGCGTGGAAGAGGAGGCGGCGGCCAGGAGGCGGGGTTGGTTGTTATCTTTGGTTATCTAGCTGTATGAGTGGTGTGGAGTCTTCATAAAGCTAGATAACCGAAAGTAAAAATAACCCCATACACTGCGCAGAGGGCCCGGAACGCTGGCGGCGGCAGGGCTGCACTCAGAAACGAGAGCCGCGCCAGGCGTCCCACGAGGCTGGGGGGCCGGGGCGGGGGAGGGTCGTCTCCTTCGAGGGTTGCTGAGCCCAGGCCACCTTCGAGGTCTACCCACGACCCGCTGAGCGGAGAAGACAACGTCAAGATGCCGCTTTGGGGTAGCCTCTGGAGGCCTGGTCAGATCGGAGCAGACCGGGCCCCAGTCCCGGGGAAGCTGCTCCTGGGAGGGACAGAATCTTTGGAATCTAGTTACAATGTTGGGGGCGGGGAGTGCCTGCACCCCTTCCCTGCGTCGACGCCTCTGGGGAGCAACAGCGGGCGACGGGTGTGAGCAGCTTCCCTTTGGCTCTTCGAAGCGACTGGTGGAGTTCGAGGTTCGTAGGATATCTCTAGAGAGCTGGCTTTTGCTTTGAAGGGTTCTCCTAAGCCCACAGCTTATTTACTGGGAGCCGAGACTGTCCAGGTGGGAACAGGTCTAGGAGCTGTCACGGGGTGGGGTGCTTAAGAAGACACACACACACAACGAACTCATTCGGGAGCAGGGAGATGCGAAAATAAACACACAAGAACAAGGGCGGGCAATGGCCAGAGACCCTTTCATCCCACTGGAGTTCGGGGATCCTGGGTTGCAGGTTCTTTGCTTTCACTTTGCACCTTAAGGACCTGAAGACTCTCGGGCTGCTTTGTCATTAGCGGCCAAAGGTCGGAGGTCTTTATCTTCCTGTTCTAGCCTCACTCTTGGAAACCATGTCCCAAAGGAACAAATGGCCTCGGGGAGCTCCGAGGATCTCAGACACAAAGGAATGTGTAGCTGTGCTGCCTGGAGAAAGCAAAGAATTAGAGAGATTAATTGGGGCTCCTGCAAAAAGACTCTATTTATCTGGCCTGACCTAAATATTTTAGTAAGAGAGGGTTTCTACAGCGAGAAGATGGTCTACCAAGCATGGCCAGGGCTAGGAATTCCCACCGCATTCATATGGCTCTGGACCGGACTTGACCACCTGGCACTTGGAGACAAGGGCTGTAAGGACTAATAAGAGGCAGAAAAACTGAGCAAAATGTCATTGCACAGACTCCAGTGTCTTTTGTAAATTTAAAATTTCCTCCCAGGACTTTATTTTATAGCTAGAAGATATTGATTCAATTTTGTATTACATAGGAGAAATATTGGAGAATCCAAATTCAAAATTTGGGGCTTTAGGGAACCTATTGCCCTTGGGTGTCTCCTTTAGCGGTTTGGGGAGGGCCTCCTTTAAAGGTCTGGGGTGGCCTCTTGCGGGTTTTAGAAGCTTGGAATTTGTTTTGTTTGGTTGTGGGGGGGGAGGTGGAGCCTGAATTGATGGTCTCCAAGGCCACATGCCTTTTTTTCTGTTTTCATCATCTAACACTGCCTGGGAGATGCCGTTATCCCATGCCACACAGACCCAAGGGAGCAGCTGATGTTACTCAATGGCTTGACACCCAATGCTCCTTCCATGGACTCTGTCTTGGAGAAAGTGAGACCCCAGGGAGCCAACTGGGCTTGAGGAAGAGGGAAGCAGAGAAGAGAAGCCTCACTGTTATCAGGGATTTTTGTGTGTGTGTGGCGGGGAGCACCAGGAAAAACAAGCCTCCTTGTCATTACTGTTTTTAATGTGTTCTGTATGGTGTTGCAGATGTGTAGCCCAGTCTACATAATAAATTCCAGGACAGCCAGAGCTACACAGTCCTCCATCACAGCACAGGCCTCTAATCTCAGCACTTGGGACGTTGAGGAGGAGGATAAGGAATTCAAGGTCATCCTTGTCTATATAGCAAGTCCCTGGCCAGCCTAGACCCCTCCCCCCCACACACCAAAACAAAGAAATTTTAAAAGAAATGTATATTTTGGACACCTGAGGCTCATCCCTAGGAGACTTAGAGCCTCGATTGCTAACAACAATGGTTTTATTATCGTTGTCTCCCATAAGCATATTGAACCATAGGCTCTCCAAAAGGCCAGAAGGCTTTAGGGAAGGAGGATTGTGGATTCTCAGGGCTTGTGTCTTTTTTAAGCGCACACTGTGTTTGCGTGGGTGGAGTTCTCAGCAGGGTGGTATGTGGCTTTGTGAAATACATGTGTCTAATGAGGAGGGTAGAGAACCGCAGTGTGAGGACCGGTTGGAGGTTGGAGTGTACAGCTCCATGGTGAGCTAGCAAAAGAAAAACGCAGAAAACAGCTGGAGTTTACTAAATGCAGGCATCAATCACAGTGACACCTGTAGTCCCCTCTTCTCCTTTATTTCTTAGAAAAATATTTGTTTTGAACTTTTTATTTCTTTTGTGTCAGAGAACAATGTGTGGGGTCAGTTCTCCCCTTTCAGCCATGTGGGTTCAGGGGATGGAATTCAAGTGTCAGGCTTGGTGGTGATCACCTTTATCCACTGAAATGTCTCCCAGGATCTCTCTCTTTTGTTTTTGAGACAGAGTGTAGCCCAGGCTTATGTGAAATTCATGGCAATCCTCCTGCCTCAGCCTCCCAAATGCTGAAATTACAGGCATGAGCCACCATGCCTGGCTCGCCACCGCCACCGCCTCCTTCTCTCTATCTCCTTACCCAATTAAACTATGCAGAACTGCTTTCATGGGTGTTCACACTCCTCCAGCTACCCAGTTGAGAAACCTCTTTTGTGTAGTCGCAGTCTGCCTGGGGCTAACACCTGTCATTTGTACTCTTCAAAGTTTGCTGCAGCCACCAGACTTCCTGGAAACCAAATCACATCGGGTTTCTTTTCTTCTCTTTAAAAATTTTTGAAAAAAAAAATGAGTGTCCTGTTGGTGTTTTGCCTGTGCACCATATGTGCGTCCTTGAAGACAGGAAGAAGGTGCTGGATCCCCTGGAAATGGGGTTACAGATGGTTGTGAGTGGCCATGTGGGTGTTGGGAATTGAACCTGGGTCCTCTGGAAGTACAGCCAGTGCTTTTAACCGCTCTAGCATCTCTCCAGGCCCTCAGCTAGTTTCTTGACCCAATTTTCTTCAAGCTTTTGTAGAGCTCTTGGTCCAATCAGCTGAAGGGAATTTTCTTGTAAATATCCGACTCAGATTTTGCTTGATCACCTAGACCCAACCCAAAGACAACACCCCTACCTTTTCTAGACATCGAAAGAGTCTTGTTGAGAGTGTGGGAGTGGTACATGCCTTCAATCTCAGCAATCTGCCTCAGGGGAGCCAGATACAGGCAGATCTCTGTGAGTTCGAGGTCTGCTGGTCTACCTACTGAGTTCCAGGACAGCCAGAGCTACATACTGAGACCTTTTCTCCAAACAAAAACAAAAACAAAAAAGCCAAAGCAACAACAACAAAAACCTTGGCTTTGTTTTGTGAGGCTGAGGGTGGAATGGGGTCCCAGGCATGCCGTGTATACACTACCTTTGAGTTGCCCCGATCATTCTGTGTAGTGAAGGATGACCTCCATACACCGTGTGGTGACATCCCCAGGGAGGCAATCCTTCGCTGCAGAGGCTTGAAAGGCTGTAGCTTGGGAAGATCTCTTTGGCATGGTTGTGGTCAAGGAACTGTAAACTTTTGAAAGGAGAGACAGGAGGGTACCCATGGGAAGGCTGTTAGGGGCAGAGCTGGGGTCCCCGGTCATCGTTCATAGCCATCCCACCGCCCACATCTGTCAAATTTTTGAGGCACAGTTTTACTTTTAGCCCAGACTGACTTAGAATTCACAAGGTAGCCAGGGCTGGATTCTAACGAATGGCGATTCTCCTGCCTCAACCTTCCAATGCTTGGGGTACAGGCATGTCTGGTTTGTGTTCCTTCTCCTGAGTAAGAGCATGTGTGACTGGGAAACTTACACATAACATGTAAGTGATAGTTCCAACTGTCTGCCATTAAATATCTAGATTCTAGAATTACTAAAAGCAGGAGCTGGGCTCAGTGGGTCATGCCTATAATCTCAATACTCAGGAGGCTGAGGCAGGAGGATCCAGAATTCAAGGCCAACTTGTTCACACTGAGACCTTGTCTAAGAGGATAATTTTTAAAAGACCCCCACAATAGAGGAGATGAGGTTATTGTACCAATAGGCAAGATGGGCCAACATCCAACCCAGGAAACAAGTGGGTTTGGTTAATGGTGGCTTCGAATCACTGCAGGGGAGGAGGAGAAGGAAGTTAGAAAACATTTTGGGCTTTTGAGGAGAACGGGGAACTCAGGGTTATGAAAGGGAGGGTGGGTGGGTGTGCTTTCAGCTAGGAGAGAGGTGAGAAAAGAGGGAGGCTCCTTGCCACCCAGGCTCTGCCAGGACTAGAGTGACACCCCTCCGCCTGCCCTAATCCCCCATTAAGGCAGCTCTGAGCTTGTTATGACAGCGTCTGAGGGCGGCTGAATTGCTGTTTGCAGTGTCTACTAATTGGACTGAAGGGCTGGAGTCTGGACACAGAAAGGGACCATTGTTACTGTTTACCTTCCACAGCTGCCTCCCCGGGACCCTCTGGTTGAGGGGAATAGCATACCCTCGGCTTGTGGCACCCATTCTCTGTGTCCGTGAGAGGGCACCCTGTGGGGACACTGCACATCCCCTTGCCTTGTGTGGTTTGAGTCTCCAGAGCACAGAAGAGAAGAGCGTGACACCTGACGGGGCCCAGGCAGGGCCCAGGGTCCCCTCCCTGAGCCAATCTCTTCCCTGTCCTTCCCTTCTGCAAGGGTGCCTCTTCCTCCAGCAGCTCAGGCACCTTTTCTTATCTGCCTCCTTCTGGACCAGTGCTTCTAGACTTGGCTACACACTAAAACCACCCTCCACCCCCATACAGATGTTTGGACTTGGCCCAGCCCAAAAATCAGAGAGGGAACGAAGCCTTGGAATGCACACCACGGATACAGTCTCATCTCCGTGTGGAGACTGCACACCCACCTTCCTGCCAAGGCCCTGCTATGTCTATAATGCGGCCGCCACTGGCAGGTTGATCACTTGTTCATCTTTATTACTAAATTGCTTGTGGAGGCCTTAGTATCTAGAGTGGGATTTAAAGGTCTGTCTTTGGCCTCAGCCTTGTTCTTGCCTAAGGGCAAAAGCACTGACTCAGCCTTGCTTGTGCCTGTGGATTTTTCAAAAGGATCCCGAGGAGAGCTGGGCCAATCTAGGGCTCTTGAAGATCTAGGATGAAGGGGTGGAAAGTTCAGCACTCATTGACTCCAAGGCTCTCCTCCCCTCCAGTAGCAGGGAGACTTCCTTTAAAATGGCCTTTTCACTTACTGTATCCAAATGTTTCTGCTTTTCTTCCCTTCAGCTTCTCCGCTGGGCGGGTGGGTGCTCCACCCTCCCGCCCTCTCTCTGCCCTGTGGACGTGCGGACCAGTGACATCCAGCACCACGGACAGCTCCTAGCGGTGAGTGAGCCTGCTGACGCCTTTAGGAGCGTGGAGGTCTCCCTGTCTCCATTCCAGGCAGACATCCAGCGCTATATTCTGGATCTGGGGGGAGTCTCGGGAGACAGGCTGAGAGATGTGGCATGGCAGCCTGGGGAACACGGGGCTTGAACTTGTGAAGACACAGAAGGAGAAGCCGTGATAGGAAGGCTGAAGGTCAGAGGTCAGGAAGGATTCCATGGGAATCATGGAAGACAGAATGTGCAGATCAACTGAAGCTAAAACAAGTGTCAGCCATCTTCACCCTCTGTCATCATATATGTGTGTGTGTGTGTGTGTGTGTGTGTGTGTGTG